CCCCCTTGCCTCCGGACCCCAGCCGCCGGAGCACAGCAGCTGGAGCCAGGGAGGAGAAGTGCCCGGCTGGCGGCTGGGGTCCGGAGGCAAGGCGGGCTGCCCGAAGCCAGTAGCGCTGGCTCGGGCAGCTTGGCTCTTAACAGAGCCGAAGTCTGAGAGGGGAGGACTCACAGAGCAGCCGCTGGAGGGGAAGTGCCCGGACGGCATTTTTCCCGGACATGTTCCGCTTTTTGGCAATTCCCCCCGGACGGGGGTTTGATTGCCGAAAAGCCGGACATGTCCGGGAAAAACCGGACGTATGGTAACCCTACTATATTGCCACAGTTGTTACCAGCAGAAGAGCTCAAGCTTTAGCTCCTTGATCTAAAGGCAAGGGCAACAGAGTGTTTTTTGAGGGAGTTCTCAGCTTTGGAACTACTCCTCCATTGATCTGATATAGTCCAGGTTTGTTGGCATGCTTGGGTTAAAGCCTATTTACTTGAGCCTTGGGGGAAGGCAGGGTTTGATGGTGACCAATATTTGTGGGCAGGGGAAGGGCAAAGTGTTGTTGCATTTGCCAGTGAGTTAGCTGCTAGTTTTAGTTTTGATTAATTGTTTTTGGTGTCAAAGGTGCCTAGAGTGTTAGTTATTTTTAATAAAATATTAATTTATTAATAAATAATAAATAATTATAATTAAATGTAAGTGCACTTCCCTTACCCACCTGGGGGAGGAGAAGCCACGGAAAAGTTGACTGAAGCAGCAAACCAGGGAAAAATGAATCATAATGTATTTAGCAAGTGATAATCAGGGCCAAGCCTAGGCATGAGGAAAATAGGATACTGAAAGTCTGGACCTTCAGTCTGTTGCAAACTGCAGCTCACAAGTCAACCCTATTTATGAATCTGGTTCTGCTCCATGAGTGTGGGGAAGAAATCTCTGTGTGCTGCTGCCAGGTGGGAAAAAACCTCAGTGCTGCTAGATCTGATCTCTCTTCCCAGAAGGGATGTCCTGTGGATCATTAAGACTGGCCCGAATCATCCAAACCACAGAAAAAAATACATACAGTAGAACCTCAGGAATGGAGGTTATTTGTAACTTTGAAATGTTTGTAACTCTGAGCAAAATGTTATGGTTATTCTTTCAAAAGTTTACAACTGAACATTGACTTAATACAGTTTTGAAACTTTTCTATGCAGAAGAAAAATGTTGCTTTCCCTTTATTTTTTTAGTAGTTTATGTTTAACACAGTACTGTACTGTATTTGCTTTTTTTTTTTTTTTTTTTATGGTCTCTGCTGCTGCCTGATTGCGTACTTCTGGTTCCAAATGACGTGTGTGATTGACTGATCAGTTCGTAACTCTGAGGTTCTACTGTAGAGGAACTATTTCCTGACTAGTAAATTATTTAACATTAAAAACAGAAACAATTAATGAGGAATGAGAGAATTTCCTGGTATTCCCCCCTACAACTACATTACTGTCCTTTGCTCAGATAAGTGACTGCAATGCATCAGAGGCCAAGTGTCCCTCCGCAATAAGGAAACCTTAGACCTTGGCTACACTTGAGAATTCACAGCGCTGCCACGGCAGCGCTGTGAAGCGCAAGTGTAGTCACGCCGCCAGTGCTGCGAGAGCTCTCTCTGCGAGAGTACGCTGCAAGTACTCCACCTCTCCGAGGGGAGTAGCTTGCAGCGCTGTGAGCGGGCGTGCAGCGCTGCAGGCGCCGATTACACTGGCGCTTTACAGCGCCAGTGTATCCAAGGCCCTAGGGAGGGGATGGGACACCTTCCTACCAAAGAGTGGGGTCATCGGAAATGCAAAATCTCTCCCTATTCCTCACAACTAGATCCCAGATCCTATTATGATGTTGTAAAACTGCAAGTGTACACAGCACTGCAAACCATGCTAAACAAATAACAAAGTTCCTGCCCTAAAGAGCTTAAAGCTAAAGGCATGAGTGAGCACAAAGCAGTACAACACAAAACAAACACATGTGGTCTTTACAGCTGGAAACCTTATTATCTCTCAAGAGGGATAAAAAATAAGTAAAGCAGATTTCATCTCTTTGGAAATGGAGCATTTCACTCTGCCAAAAATGTGTACTTCACAAAACAAAACAAACCACAACTAAGTTGCTAGCCTATAGTTGGGTGCCTGGGGAACGTGGGACTGCCGAGGGGTTGGGGGATAGAGGAGAAGCAGGACTTAAAGTGGGTGTAATTTTCTGGATTTGCTGCTGTCCTAGTCCTTTACAGGAAAATCCTATAATCCTTTATATAAAATTATATATTTTCTGTGGATTTTCCAGACCATATTAAGAATACAGCTTTATATCACTATTATAGAATTTTATAGGATGGCCCAGAAAGCCTAAGAGAAATGGTGTATTCTACCAGCTTTTGAGAGTAACTTCTATAGGACTCTATTACATTTCTATAAGAACACTGTTGGTTTTATCCCTTTTAAATTCTACAGGACTTTTCCAGAAAGGGGTATCTCTGTGATTGTCCCAGTTTGGTCAGGGACACACACATTGTGCTGAAGGACGGCTGCCTGTGTGTTCCCCAAATCAGTTCCAGGGCCCACGCTGGTTTCACACTGTAGGGCAGGGGTCGGCAACGTTTGGCACGCAGCTCGCCAGGGTAAGCACCCTGGCGGGCCGGGCCAGTTTATTTACCTGCTGACATGGCAGGTTCGGCCGATCGCGGCCCACACTGGCCGCGGTTCGCCGTCCCGGGCCAATGGGAGCGGCGGAAAGCCGCGATCAGCACATCACTCGCCCGCGCTGCTTCTCGCTGCCCCCATTGGACCGGGACGGCGAACCGCGGCCAGTGGGAGCTGCGATCGGCCGAACCTGCCGCGTCAGCAGGTAAATAAACTGGCCTGGCCTGGCCCGCCAGGGTGCTTACCCTGGTGAGCCGCGTGCCGAACATTGCCGACCCCTGCTGTAGGGCAACCTTTCAACACAAGGTCATGGTGCTGCCACACCATCTCTCAATGGATGGGTTTGAGTGACACTACAAAAGGTTGCAGCTTTGGTACAAAGGCAGTCTCCGTTCAATATAAATGGAGGGAGGGAGATGGGGGAGCACAGTCCTTATGACCATAGTCTAAGCCTCAGGCAGAAGGTCAGGAGCTGCGGAAATGTCTGTAGTGACTGACCCCAGGAGCCTCCTTCCTCCCCCATAGAACAACGGAACCCCCAGTCAGAGACACACACTGAACTTGGCAGGGAAGGGAAGTCACCCCCTTCCCCTTTGCAATGAACTACTCACAAGCTATTCTCCATCCCCCTCCCCGCCTCCACAGCAATGGACTCGTCTCCTGTATATGACTGCAGGAGGGGAGGGGGCCAGCCCACTTGGACAGGGGGAGGAGAAGGCTGTGTGGTAAGTATAGGAAGGGGAGGAGGGGTTAGTGGCTTGGGTGCAGTGTTGCTATGGGGAGACCGAGAGACTAGAGGGTGGTGTTGCTGCTGCGCAGGGAGAGAGGGAGCAGCAGCTGCTGCTGATCCCTGACACATCCCCCTACGGGCCTGCTGCCATATTGTGTCCACTCTCCCCCAGCCGCACAGCTTCATGACTACTGTGAGTACGGACCCTATTATTAACTGTGGTGGTGGGGGGAGATTTTTCCTCCAACTCCCCCAGCAGAGAGATTCTCAGCCTATATTTGCGTGTGTTTTATTTAGAATATCTGAATCTACGAAGAACATACATGTGGTTAAAGGATGAGCGTTTCCTGCTCTGAGGTGGCAGCAATGGGGCGGGGGGGGATCACTGCCGCCTCTCAGAGGTGGGATGTATAAAGTGGGTTTGTTAATTGGGGCTGGAATGAAATTATGATTCAAAATAACAAACGTGGGCTGGGGGAGGAGGTTTAACAGGGGCAGGTGGGTTGTGGATTGGGGTTTGTCCCGCTCACCCGGCCGCACAGGGGACAGCCTGTCTCTGGTTAAAAGTGCTGTAATAAATATGGAGGGAGAGGAAGCAGTTTGCTCAGGGGGCTGGTGCCTCTGGAGAGCTCGGGTGTGACTCGTGACGGGAGGGAGCCTTGTTTTGTTTTCGCAGTCAGGTCTGGGAAGAGGCTGGGGGGCCGCGTGTGTGTGATGAGAGGGAGAAGGGCTGCTCGGCGGCGGGCGTGAGTGAGCACACATGGATAACGGGCAGAGAGGGAGAGGGTAAATAATGGAAGAGGCGAGGGAGCTTATGCTGACGACTTGGGGCTGCCTGGGTCGGTGTTCCGCATGGGTCGCTTCCAGAGAGTCTGGGTAAGGTCCGGAGCCCCCAAGCCCACTCTAAGACAAAGCATGTGCCGAGATCGCCCTCCGGGTTCGCAGCCCCCCCAGCATTGAGGACGCTTGCCAGGAGTGCAGATCTGAAGTCAGCGCTGAGTGACTCCCGCGCAGCCCCCGCAGTACAATCATCCCTCCAGAGAAGGGAGACTTGCCGTAAAATTACCCCCCGCCCCAAAGGAGGGATGCTCTCCTCCCTGTTGGAGAGTGAGGTTGACAGCTGGGCTGAGTCCTGCAACTCTCTTACTGCTGTTGGACTGGCTCTTCCTTCCCCATATGCCACTGTTTTCCCGTGGGAGAAGGGGGGAGGCTCTCTAAGGAGCACGTGGCCGGGAGAAGGTGGTGCGCCAAGAATAGCACCCACCGCAGTTCCTTGTAGGTGCCTGTCCTGCCTGAGCCAGCCCGGTGAGGAGGGGAGGTGTTAGTCCTCTTGCCCTTAAAAACATAACCTTCCCCAGCTGCAGCAAGGGCCTCTGGCCACCCCACTCGGCTCCATTAGCAAAGGCAGCAGCTGATGCGTGCAAGGTGAGTTTCACACACCACCACCCCCGGATCATGTGCGTTTAGTTCATTGATCTCCCCCATTTTGGTTGGGATTGTGACAGACACGTGGCCCGCTGAGCCCAGCCCAGCAAGTCATAGGCATTTCTGGGAGTGTGTGTGTCTGTAACAACCGTGACAAAGAGCCAGCCTCTCACCGGTCCTCATGAGCTCCAGAGAGAGGGAGATCGCCCCCCAGTCTGCTGCTGCCACCTCTGCCCACCTACTTCTGCGCGGCAGTTTAGCCGTCGTTCTCGGTGTCTTCTCCTTTCTCTTGTGCTCTTGGGTGAAGTACTTGGCTCACTGTTGAGATCTCTGCAGTGTTAGTTGTTCTTACCAGACATTAGTTTATATGGAGTGGGCTTCCTTCTGCCCAACCCCCCTTTTCCACTAGGAAATTTTTTCCTGGATGTGATGTTCTCAAACTTTTGAGATACCTAAAAACTTATTTCTTTTTGTCAGGAGTTTCAGATGTTTCTCTTAATCTGTCTTTAGGTATATAAAGGGGCTTTAAAATCAGTATTGTGTATGTGTATATATGTGTATATATATGTACACAAATGGTGTGCATGCATTTGTGTGTGTTTATGGTAATAATATTTGCATTGGTTGTTGTAATGAAAATGTTAGCCACAGTTTCTTAAATTAACCCAGAAAAGTGACTGGCATTTGATCAGATTGACATGTTCTTTTGTGTTTTGTACCCCATTGGATATGCTTTGGGGCACATTATGAATAATACAGTAGTAGTAAGATGGATTTCAGTTTTTCTTAATTCTCAGTTTTTCAACAGAAATAAATTAACACTGTTTATATTAAATTAAGGGTTGTACTAAAAACAAAATGAAAAAATATAACATCATTTTACTGCACTGTGATGTATCCCGCTTTTTGAGCATGGGAAAATCCTCTGGCAGAAGTGGGTTGGTTAAGGCAATGGTGCAGCTATGTTTAAAAAAAAAAGTATAGAGAGGGAACCAGGAGAAAGAATTCAGTAGTCCTGTACTGAGGAGGACATTGATAGGAGAGTTCAAAAATAAACTAATAAATTGGTGAGTGAGGAGAACACGCCCTCAGCATCCCATCTGAGCCATAACATTGGGGGTTGTAGATTGTGAGTCAGAGATTTTACACTGAATGATTTTGATGGTGTAGGAAAAAATGTAACATCGCAATTGTGATCTTTGTTCTGGTTTGAACATAAATGCTCTTAGTAACTAAATTATATGATGATGGAAAGTTCTGTTTTGCTATATATGCAAACTTAAGAGGGTATGGATTTTTTTTATAGCCAGTAGTGGGTAGGAAACTTTTCCTTGGTGTCTGGTTGTAGGTTACTTACAAATTTCTGCAAAACTGAAATCTAATTAACAGCTAGAAGTGCTAAATTATATTTTATTTTATGGCTATGAAGACAACCTGATTATGAACTGGTACAGTGCTGTGTAATTGAATCAGCAGACAGACAGCATGAAAGAATGGCTTGAGAGGTGTGAACTTTCCCTGTTCTTCTCAGGGGTAGTTAACTTGCATTCTCTGGGCCTGAATATGTACTCTACCCTTATTCTGCGACCTGCTGGGGATACTAGTTGGTGGCTCCTCCATGGAGCTGAAATCATGGGTGTTTGCCTGGTGCAGTTCACAAATTCCCCCAACACCTGTCCCTTTTGGGGCAAGAGAGAGACCTTGGCACACATCTGTGTAGGGTTCATCAGATTGTAGCCCCTCCTTTGCATCATCCAGAACCTCTTACTGAAGTTCTGGCTGCACTTTTCCCCGCATCTCCTGATCTGTGCACACTCTGTCTGTGGCCTCCACAATCATGGGACATCCTCGTCAACCTTCTCTTGGCACTGGCCAAGGTGACTATCCATCGCTCCAGAAGTAGGAAGCTAGGCGGTGTGCTCTGTGACTTTGGGGCCTATTCCCGGTCCCTTATCTGAGCATACTTCTGGGCAGAATTCCTCTGGGCAGTGTCCACCTTTTGAGTAGTGGGAACTGTTGGGGGATTCTCTACTCAGTGTCCCCTCTCTGGATCCCTGATTTTCAACCTCACTCCCCCTCCCTTTTTTTTTTTTTAATCTGTTGTCCCCAGTAATCAATTGTAGCCTGGGCTTAACTAATGGTGTGGGCCTTTAGTTATGAGCTGGCATAGAACTGCCTGTCCCAGTAATTCAAATAGTACTGCAGCTCCCACTGGTGCCACTACTTGTGCAACCCTAATGGTAGCACTAGGGGGAAATTCCTTACCCCACTGCTCCCTGCAAAAAAAAAAAAAAAAAAAAAAAAAAAAAATCCTTAGTGCAAGCACAGTTATTGTACCCATCCACACTAGTAATGCAGTTATATTGGGGGACTTGGTTACAAAACATCTATCCCAAATTTGATGTGTCAGAGGACAGATATACAGTAGTTGAGGCCCCCAGCATCAGGGCCGGCTTTAGCAAGTGTGGGGCCCGATTCCTGGGGCGGCACTTCGGATTGCCGGCTGGGGGAGGGGGAGCCCCGGGGCTTGCCGCGCTCCGGCCAGCGCTCTGGCCGGGGCTGTGGGGCTGCCGCGCTCTGGCCGGGGTCGCGGGGCTGCCGCACTCCGGCCGGCGGTCCGGCCGGGGTCGCGGGGCTGCGGGGCTGCTGCGGTCCGGCCAGAGCTCCAGCCGGGGTCAAACTTAAAAACAGCTTAAAAACATTGAGAGCAAGTTTTATAGGACTTTCAAAAACTCTGTCTCCTACTTTCAAGAAAGAAGCATGATTTATTAAACTCCTATTGCTTCAGAGTATCAGCCACTGTTAACACATCTGAAGGTCCATCAAAAGATACAAGTGAAAGTAGACAAATGAGAGCCATTGCACTGAGCTCTGCTTCTCAGTGAAATAGTATTCCAAACAAACAAAAAAAAGAAACCTAGGAGTTCAGAGAAAGTGGGTGATACACAAGTAGTCAGCTGGTGAAGAGCAATGTCATGCATGAAATGATTACAAGTAGATAGACTTTAAATCATTTACCCTTGTGGGACCCAATTATCTGCAATTGGAGATGCCTTTATCCTGCAGGTGGGAGAATGGAGCCCTTAATAATTATCAGTAAGTCCCAAAAGAAGCTTGCAGAAATATATACATACACAAAGTATTAATTTATTTTAAACAGTTTATCTTTACCCCAAACCCAAAAGGAAAGAGACCGAGGTTTCATTGCACACAGATGAGAGAGGAAAAAATGTTGGAAAAGCTTTCAGAATTCTTCTCCCACTTTCTCTTGACTTGTACTCTCTCTCTCTGTCTCCCTAGGGATTTTAAGTTCCTTTCACACAGACAATTAAGCCATGCTAGCTGAACCAGTTTTAAATATGGTTTGCATAACATATGTAGACAGTGGGCCTGATTCTCCGCTGCCTTGCATCAGGGTGGATTTGATTTAAATCATGATTTAAATCACTAGTCAGGAAGACTCGATTTAATCATGGATTTCTACATAAAAGTGCATTCTTGTTGGTTGTTATAACCTTAATACATATTCTTCACAACTCAGGCCTGGTCTACACGGGGGAGGTGGGAGGGGGGGATCGATCTAAGTTACGCAACTTCAGATACGTGAATAACGTAGCTGAAGTCGACGTACTTAGATCGACTTACCGTGGTGTCTTCACCGCGGTGAGTCGACTGCTGCCGCTCCCCAATCGACTCCGCCTGCGCCTCTCACGGCAGGCGAGACGGGAGAGTGCTTGGGGATTGATTTATTGTGATAAATCGACCCCC